GACGGTCAAAAATGTCTTCATTTGTTTTAGTTATCACTACCATTGTAAATTTACTTTATTTTCACTATGACTAGTAATATAGTTATCATGTATAAATGGATTTTATCAATTGTATTGGTTTCATAATTTTGTTTTTATCAATACAAGGGCATTTTTATGAAATTTAGGTAATGTTAATGAGATGATGATGATGGCGACGATGATTATGATGATAATAATTTTTATAATGAGCATAAGCATCATGATAATGATGAAAATGAGGGTGATGGTGATGATGATGATGATGACAATGGCGATTACTTCCGCAAATATTGCATTACAGGCAGTAATAACGTATATTTATCATAATTTTCATTCCTATTACTATTATTTTTTTGAAATATTCGAATATCATTTTCCGCATCAATATCACTAATGACTCAGACAGTTTCCTACTCGCGGTCCATGGCCATATCCTATTCTGACAGCTGATGTACTGTACCATTCATTTACAATATTATTGCACTGAGTTTCTGTATCAACTTTTTTCTTCAAGACTCTCTACGTGTAAAGCTTCCTCTTTTTTATACAAACCAGTCACGCACTCTCGCATGTACGTCTGCCCTTGAGTCTTACTACCTTTCGTACGATGGGTTTGAGCACGAGACTGTCCTTCTTTAAGGCTGCTCGTGTTTGCACATAATCCTCGTCTACTTGTGTTTGATATCCGGTATACGTCTGATACAGTGCGTTTGTCAGTGGAGATATTTCCCTTGCTCTTTCGAGGATGTATGGTGGCTTATACGCACACACACACACACACACACACACACACACACACACACACACACACACACACACACACACACACACACACACACACACACACACACACACACGCACACACACGCACACAGATATATATTCAGAAATAGAAATGAACTACCCGTCACGCTTATTTGAATGTCTACTGTTGATATCAATTGGCAATACCTTCGGGCAATGTACGAAGGCATTGTACCTGGTATAGCAAGGTACGACCTAGAAATAGCTACTTTTCTTGTGATACTCCACTTAAACTCTATATCAAAAATACTCGAGCATTACGTACCACAACGTGCCTTTCCCCTCAGTTGTCGTGCCAAACCATCATGAGGTCTATAACACGGGCTATTAAACAATTACTGACCCATTCAGTAATTATGAGCGTCCGACAACACCCACCCCTTCAACAGGGGGTATCGATCCCTCACTCATAAAAAGAGAGAGCGAAGGCGAGGGGTATGCATGGCTCTTAGCACGATATCTTCTCACGAGGAAAGACACGCACCTTTTCTCTCACATACGAATTAGTGTCAACACCGCACTCCAGAGAGCGTGATGGACACTTAGACAAGCGTGGCCGAGTTTATGTCTTTATTTGTTCATGAATGTGCTACTGGGGGAAATACTACGCTGAGAGTGCAACGAAGGTAACGGGTATTGAAACGAAATCACGCACGTTTTTTCCTAATAGAGACGCGCATACCTGTTCTTTGTGTAGGTAGGTTTGTGCATGTATTTTTAATTGATACTTTGTGCTGGCGTACATTCTGTTTCGTGATTGTGAGTGTACATGGGAGAGAGAGTGTGTGTGTATGTGTATGTGTATGTGTATGTGTATGTATGTATGTGTGTGTGTGTGTGTTTGTGTGTGTGTGTGTGTGTGTGTGTGTGTGTGTGTGTGTGTGAGAGAGAGAGAGAGAGAGAGAGAGAGAGAGAGAGAGAGAGAGAGAGAGAGAGAGAGAGAGAGAGAAAGAGAGAGGGAGAGAGTGAAAATGAGAGTGAGAGAGAGAAAGAGAGAGACCAAGACCGAGAACGAGAAAAAGAGAACAAAACCGAGAGCGGAAAATAAAGCAAGGCCGAGATTGAGAGAGAGAGAGAGAAAGAGAGAGACCAAGACCGAGAACGAGAAAAAGAGAACAAAACCGAGAGCAGAAAATAAGGCAAGGCCGAGATTGAGAGAGAGAGAGAGAGAGAGAGAGAGAGAGAGCGAGAGCGAGAGCGAGAGAGCGAGAGAGAGAGCGAGAGCGAGAGCGAGAGAGAGAGTGAGTGAGAGCGAGCGAGAGTGTGCAGGTAATTATATATATGGACGCATATATTTCTGCATACTATGTCTTCCACGTGCTAAATGACTAAACCACCGCGTGTTGACATACATAATTACCGTCAAAATTGTCTTAGTGACAGTAGGGGATTAACGACTCCCTGGCACGTTGAAACTAGCCCCTCAGAGTAAATGGCTAGGTATTAGAATAAACAACTTATAGATAAATATATATTTATTTTTACTATCGCGATTTTTTTTTGTAATTTTTGTTTTCTATTCATAATTTTGACTGTGCATGTTGCTATTAATATTGTTAATGTTGTCGTCACTATCCTCATTATTATCTTCAACATTGTTGTTTATGTTGGTATTTTGAATTTTAGCTATAGTATTGTTCATTATCTTCTTTACATACACACACATGAATGTATGTATATATGTATGTATGTATGTATAAACACTTCCGTGTACGATTTTTGGCACTGTATAATTAGCATATATTTGCAATAGTGAAGGATAGATTCGCAGCTGTTTTATGAGCCACGTTCAGAACTTTCCTTTAGTATTGTAATGTAAAGGAAACCTCATTTGTATGCACGTATTTCGGACACCCGAGCCGTATCTGAACAAATCTATGAATATGTCGAAATATTCTTTCGCTTTTTAAATAAAACTGATGAATGAGCTACAAATCAATTTAGGTCTCTAAAAAAAGAAAAGGAAAAGAAAAAAAATACAAAAAAAAGATAAAACGAAACACGCTTTCAAATGTCATCAGTGAGTTTGCTAAAAAGAGAGAGTAATACATCAAAACCCTTAATAATTAATCTCTTCCCTCCGTTTCTTCCACAGGTCCGTGTTGTCAGCGGTGTGGTGGTTGGTGGCTCTCCCTTGAAGAGGAGGCCTTGCAATACAAAGATATATCAAAAGACTATGATCTACTTTGTGTGTTTGTGTGCGTGTGAGTGATGCTTGAAGAAAGCGTATTCTGCAGCCTTGCTGGTTGGCAAAATAAAGACCTCCTCCTGCTTCATGTCTCAGACTCTAGGGATGTAACCCACCGTATTTCGGACACCCGAGGACGTGCCCAGTCAGTCTCGGATCAGCGTGGGATGTAAACCATAATGTTTCGACAGCCTGGGGACGTTCCCCACCGATGAGCTTTAACTTACTGTGACTATTCGGGCCAAGTGTGATTCCTACTGTTGTTGACACTGTTGCTGATGTTGTAAATTGTTCTCTTTATATTGCTTTTCTCTCTTTAGAAATCCCTCTATTTTGTTTTGTCTGCCGGACCCTTTTAACGTCACTTGGAAATGATGATCAATTTTGTTGTGTCACATAATTTGTGGAGATGTATTGTTATCAGGAATCCTTTATTATCATTATTATTTCGTCCTGTTTGTTTTCATTATCGTTATTTTTACCAACTTGCCTCTTACTATCGCCAGCACAACTACAAGCAACATTGATGATGTAGCTACAGTTACATCAATAAATAATAGATAAGGTTGATACAGCATTGTTGGTGTAGCTACAGTTACATCAAAGATACATAGATAAGGTTAATACACTATAAAACAAAATAGTTCACCATTTCTTGTCTTCACACTTCTCACTATGCATACTCCTCCTATTGCTGCCCTACTATATCTGCTACTGCTGTTGCTGCTACTGCTGCTTCCTAGTATTCCTGCTACTGCTCCTACTTCCGTTACTAACAAACTTGTCACTGTGCCTCTAACAGTCAACAATGACAAACATCTCTTCTGCTTCTGTTCTACAAACATGTATCTCTCTCTGGTGTGCTTTGTCTGAAGTCACTCCACACCTCAACCACTGTTTCAACTGTCACCACTACCACAGTTATTGCTCCAGCATCATCACACTCCTACTACCAAACAGATCTTTTGTTTCTCTTGTTACTACCACTTGTACTTACACTATACTGTAACCAGCCCCGATGTTATGTCTACCACCTGTGACAACACTCTCTATTGTACTGATACTTCCAACACCACCTCATTGTACCTACGTCAGTGTCTTTATAAATGAAATTTTTATTAATGGGAAATGTCTAACCTAAATACGTGTTCTGTATCTGTGTGAGAATTGGATCCAATCCTGAAGTTTTACTCGCTTGGGTGAAATTTGACTCATTCACGACCTGAAAAAGGTGTTCGTCACGCTGCTCTCTGATCATAGGCAACAGGATGCCATTGTAAAACTTCAGCATTTGGAGACGAATTCTGAAACAAGCCCATATATTTATACATATATGAGAGGAAAAAAAAAGAAGGGGGGAATTGGCTGAATGCTCACTTGGGCGAAGTGATAATTAGATATTGGATAAAATTGGTATAATAGATTAATACATAAATCAAAAACAGTTTTGTGCATTTCTTTACCCTGATTCTTTACCAACTGGATATAATTTGTCGAACGTTCTGATACTAAAAGGAAGGCTAGCTGGTAATGGTCACTTGACTGAGTCAAATTGAAAAGAATTATTGGGCGGTTTCAGATTTCGAGACTGTTGGACTACAAGTGAAGTATAAGTAGTTTTTCTATGTCAGAGGGAACACCTGTGTTTTATTTTTAACATGTATTACATCTATCATTCACGTTTGTACGAGATCCGTACCTTTTTTGTTCTAGAAATATATAAAGATCTTGAATGATATCAATAAATCAGTGTTTGATATCTCTGTTGTTAGACATTGTCATCAAATAACATGCATGCATTCCTCTGAACTACATGAAAAACGTTCCGCTTACCGCCTTTCAAAAATTCTATGTTCCGGAACGTTTAGATTTGGTTAACGTTTGGGTGTAAAGAGTGATCAATACCTCTAAGGGTATTTGTTCATATTGTCTCCCAGAACATGTATATTGTACCCATGTGAATGTAAATGTGACCTAATGCAGTAAA